TTTTCCGTCGGAAATCTTATTTTTATTATTGTTTTTTTTATAATTATTGAACTCATTTTAGTAATTATTTTAATTATTTTATATGTATATGGATATATTATAAGGTTTAATATTCAAATGATTTATTTATTTTGGTCGATGGGGATGTAAGTGGGTCAGGTGGCCCCACCACAGGTTTAGTCCGAGTGGGCTAGATCGAAAGTGAACCGAGTCACATTTTTTGACCCATTATAATTTTTTTTTGGCCCGATCTGGCCCATTTTCAAGGTAGACCAGCTTGATCCACGGGTCAGAACCCACTTTGATGGCTCTAATTTTATGAGTATTTTCTAAAAATAATTAAAAAGATATTAGAGACTTTTAATGATTATGAGTATTTTTAATTAAATAATAAATATTTGCAAAAAAAAATTGTATACTATTCATTGGAGAAATGTATTTTATGGTATTTTAATTTGAAGAGGGATCCATTTAGTCTAGGAGTAAATCTACCTAGACCGTTTTATAATTCATGTTTTATATCAAATCTCAATGATTGAACTGTTGAATTTAAAGTTTTTAGTGAATAGATCAAATTTGTAAATTTTTAAAAAATTTGAAAATTATTTGATACTTCATTTCATTAATTCAAATTAACATACAAAATAATTATCTATCAATTTGAATTAATGAAATGGATCCCTTTTCTTTTAATTAATATATATATATATATTAGTTGCTATTATTGTTTTTTTTATAATTATTGAACTCATTTTAGTAATTATTTTAATTATTTTATATGTATATGGATATATTATAAGGTTTAATATTCAAATGATTTATTTATTTTGAATTATTTTTAGAGAATAAATTTCTAACTTGAGTTAAATATTTTAACAATTGGATTAAGGTGGGGTTAAGTTTTTTTTCAAAAAGAGAGTTATCTGATTAGTTTTCATTTTACGCTACTTTCTTTTCCACCACGCTTATGCACTTCAAGTTTGGGAGAACTAAAACTCGTAGGAAAACATCTTGGAAATCCATCTCCATCTTTTAGTGCTCATTAAGGTAAGGGGGTGAGTAGTCTCACTCTGAGTGTGGGATATATGTTAGGTATACGTGAGATTAGCTCGTAATCCTTTCTCTATTGTTTTGTGTTGTATGAAAGGAGTTTTCCCAATTATGCATCTTTGTCTTCTCTATGATTCTTCATTGTTCTATTTGATATTCTTAATATGTATATGTATTGAATTTAATATTTGATTTGATAATTATAAATTTTGGATTGTCCATAGGTTCTTGTGAAAATCCTAAGGAAATGCATTGCTGATTGTATGAGAAAATTAATAAAGTGTGTAATTCGTGCCTTTTAGAAGTGTAACTTAACCTTTGACATGTTTTTTACCGATTAGTTTTGGGTTGAAGGTGTTAGGGAATGATGTAGGAAAGGTTAGAAACCCATAAATAGTATAATTTCATGTTAGGGATTGTTATATCTCACTCCAAGCAATCTTATACTTGTTCTAAGCGAATTAGCTCACTTCAAGCTACCTTAGGCTCGCTCAAGCAAGTCCCGACAAAGAGTTTTGGGTGGCGCTCACTACAAGCGAGCTAATCTCACTCGACGCTTGCTTTGAGCGAGTTGATCATGCTTAAGTGAAAGATTGGCTTGCTTAAGAAATTGCACAAGTAAGGATAAAACACGCTAAACAGTAAAAAAAAATTATAATTTCTGTCGGAAATTTTGACAGCAATTTCTGACGGATTTTTCCGTCAGAAATTTTTGACAGATATTTTCGACGGATATTTCCGTCAGAATTTTCCGTCGAAAATTCTGTCGGAAAAATTATTTCTGACAGATTTTTTTTTCGATGCCACTTTTTTCGACAGATTAAAATCCGTCGAAAATCCATCGAAAAAGAAAAATCCGTCGAAAATTTACCTATTTCCGTCGGAAATCAACATTTTTCTTGTAGTGTAGGTAAGGTCCCTTGTGTAAAAGCTTGAGAATTAACCTTGGGGATAACTCGGTTTGAAAGTTCTAGTCATACCCTCGTGAACATGAGATGTATCTTGCACGGCTTAGTTATCTCGACCAAACCCTGATAGGATATCCTTCTAGCGAGAATGTTTAGAGGGTGTGATCTGTCATGTATTCCTATACTACTCTAGTGTGTTGTTGGTGACAATGCACAAATGTAATGTTTTTAATGATTCACATGTAGCATGTAGTTTGTGTCCGTTGCATGCATTATAATTTTATCTATTGTTGTTTATTATGCTATGAATGAGTTAAGTGGGATGATGATAGACTATGGCCACCGCCAAGGAATCCAAGAGGTGACGCATTGAAGGAACCAAGAGGAATGAGATGATGGACCATGGGCCAAGGGCCCAATCACTAGAGCTATGGCCACCTTGAAGACTAGTGGATACCTTGAAGACTAGTGGGCTTTCCAAACCCAAGGTACTCTTCAATTTGGACCACTCTATCATGAAGAGAAGACATAGTTCTAATTGTAAATATCTTGTACATAATTCTCTTGTATAGGTTTATTTTTGCCTTTGTATTTGTGAGGTACTCTAGTTTCTTTTATTAGTCATTGTATATTGATTCTAGGGTGGGTTACTTGGAGAGTTTGACTTCATTTAACCTCCTTTGTTGATACACTCATTTTCTATTTTTTCAGTAGTAAAAGTGGGTGGCATTTAGCAATGCTTGAGGGTGTGACTAGTAATTGGGCCAGAATTGGGCCTAGGAAAAATTTTACATATTGGACTCATTTTACTCCTAATTTTTCATAGATTTGATTTAGCTAGGTTTCATCATCATTGGATGAACCTAACTAAACCAAATCAAACATTTTTGAAAATAATTCATGGAGTCAAAATGACCAAGGTCGCCTACATAAGCTACCTACTTCTATAACTAGCTTGGATGGTCAAGACAACCAAACCATGGTTCACTTGAACCATGGTTAAGGTTAGCTTGCTACATAAGCTACCTACTTCTATAAATTTGTAAACCTTTCATTTTCCCTCACTTTGGATATGAATGAAATAAGAATTTCTAAAAGAATTCTCTCTTCTCAAAGTCTCAAAACCGTGGAGAACAAGTTCTCCCTAGTTCCTTCACAAAGGTTTCCACCTTTGTGCCTTGGAGCCTCCATCTTCTACTTCTTCAAGGAGTAACCGCGCACTCCTTAGTGCTTCTTCACCATTGGAGCTTCTTTAAAGGTGATTCTTCATCATTGGCGTGTCTAACCTCAAGAGAAGAAAGGGATTGAAGGTGTAACTTCAAGAAACATCAACCATCTCCAAGTAGTTCCATCAGATGATCATGTGTAAAACTGTGATAATAGCATGTTGTATGTGTCGTTTGTATTTGGTTAGTCGATTTGCATTCTTACACCGTAAGTCAGAGTGAGATGTTTCTTCTTTTCTTTGTGTTGTTTCCTTGTGATTGTTATAGGTGATCATCAACATAGAGGATGTTGGTGATGAGGCCTAATCTTCAATGTTGGGTTGCTTTAATAAGACATGTGACATCGGGAAATAGTTAAGATTTGATTCCTATTATTTAAATTGAGTAGTTGGATTTTAATTCCTTTGTAATTCTATTAGTTCTGTTAAGTCTAGTTTATGTTAATAATATTATAATCCTTTCTATTTGTATGAATTTTGAGTTCATTTATTATATCGAGGTTATTCAATTTTATATTATTTATATAGTATGGTATGCAAGATAAGGGGTGTTACGATGTTGACTTTAACACATGGTATTTACATAATCGATTAGTTTATGTTTCTATTTGGTTAATTAGTTAGTTAGGACCCTATATGTATGATATGCATTGTGTGTGTTGACATGACAAAACTAGCAGATGCAATGTGTGAGAGATTTAGGTGATCGTCTAGTCATTATCTGATGTAATTCTCACATACTTTGAAATCGATATAGTTAATTAATCTTTTTAATTCATTTTATGTTTCTTGTTTCTATGTCGTGTGTTTTAGTCAATCTTACACAACACAAGAATTGGAGGAATTGCATAAAATTGACTAGAAAAATTATTATTTGTAACATTGATTAGAGAAGTTATACTTTTTTCATACAAAGGGTCAAAGTAATATGTATTTCTTTTTAAAAAAAATATATTATATATGAAAGTATACTAGTAAAAGATGCGATTAAAATAATATACTTCTATTTTATATAAAATGAGAATAATTACTTAGAAAAGGAAATTAAGTTTTAAATTAAATACAAATTAAATTCACTATAAATTTATTGTTTAAGAACATAAAACAAAAAAGTGGATTAACATGCTTATCCAACAAGTTTGGTGAGTTGAAATTGTCAAGTTAGATGAAACGAATTGATGTGTTTATTTATCCAACCCAACAACCCACAAAAAATGGATAAGTTAGCGAGTTGACATGAATTTAACCAACATTATCATCCCTAATTATATATATATATCTCATCTCTATATATATATATATATATATATATATATATATATATATATATAATGTAAAAAAATGTTAAATAAGATAAAATTAGTTAAATTTTATTTATATTTTAGAGCATCCATGATTTGTTTTATTTCTTTTATTCGAGACAGGAGAAAGTAATTCAAAATTAACTTAAGCACATTTCATTAATTGTAAAGGTTGAAATTCCATTTCATCGAAATTAAATCTACCAAATTATACACTAATCAACTGGTATAACAATCACTTAAATATGGCTTATTGAATGCCATTAAAATATCACAACTATAAATCCATGTTAGCTAGGTAACAAACTTGACGCTTTAAGGCCACCAACAAGATAAAAGGGCATCCCAATTAAAAAAAAATTGGAAATAATATACGACATGTGAAAAACTTTCTACCAACAAGCCTTTTGCCATGGATAAATAATACTCAGAAAGAAATGGTACATGATATGAGAAAAGACATCAGACATTAATTACTTTAATAATTAGAAATTCAAATTTGAGACAATCCTTTAAGATCCAAAAAACAAAAAAAAAAAGTTGAACATGAGGAAAATTTTGACAACTCAGGATGTTCATGTTGAAATACAATCTAGTAACCATAATAATAAACAAGAGGAGCAGGGTAAAAGCCCACAATACTGGGTTGCATATTATGTGAGAAACTAGGAACCTCAGATGGGGAGGGTTCCGTGTTATTTTCATTATGAGCCATACCATTACCATGGCTTTGACCAACAGCATGAGCAGGAACCTGAGGAACTGCATAAGTTTGATCAGGAAAAGTACCATATGCAAGCATGTAACTAGGGACTGGATTCCATGATGGTATTCCTCCATATACTTGAGCTTGTAAAGGATGAAAAATGCCAGGGTACATAGATGCAGTTTGAGGATTCTGCAAAGCTGTTTCTGTAACTTGTGGTGACGTTGTATAGTCTCTACTTTTGTCACTTGAACCCTAAAACCAAAATAGTTATATGTATGATACTGAAATCAGATTCAGCTATATAATCATTCAAACATTTATAGATATTATATATATAGCTGGATTAATTACACTTTTGATTTTCTTACTATTTTCTTTTCACGAGTTTGGTCCTCTATTTTTTAAAGATTCGATCCTCCACTACTTTAGTTATGTGATTTTTGTCCATCTGTTAACTTATATTCTATGTTTAAGTAACATAAATGCTGACAAGGCAATGCTATAGTGCTATGTTATAATATTTTCCTAAATATTGAATGTCAAAGTAAAAGTTTAATAAATGGATAAAAATTGTATAATTAACATATTGAAAGGACTAAATTCACAGAAGAAAAAAAAAAAAAAGAAACCTAAATTCTTAAAATAAGGATAATAAACAACCAAAGTACAATTATTTTAAGATATTAAAAAAAGAAGTTCATTCAATGAGTCCAGAAACATACAATCTAGGAAGTATTTATGACATTAACTTACCCTTACAATGACATCAGAATGACGAGAGTATGATAGATGAAGCTCAGAGCCATCATTATATATGCAAAGCCCCTCTAGAGTTCTTTTGGCCATCTTTGCTGTTTCAACATCTGAAAAACGAATAAAAAGGTTACACATATTGAATAGACAGCCACAAAAAATGATTTTTCAAGCACAAGATGCATGATTATCGCGTAGAATCTTTTATGTTTTTTAGAATTTCAGTATGCTGTATGTGAAAAACAAGATGTATGTCATGAGTTAAAACATTATTGATTAGCTAGAGTATAGGTTTAGTTTAACCATATCATGGTTAATTAACTATATATATATATATATATATATATATATAAATGAAAAAAA